ACCCTGGCAAGAACTGTGAAGGGTTAGCCTACCACAGTTTCATGGATACTGGCAGAGGACAGGAGACTCATCGGTCAGAGACAAAAGAGTATTATTCAAGGCACAGCAAGCAGAGTGAGCTTCGTGTTGTGTCCCTTTGCCCCTTGAGTCCCCCAGGGCCAATGCAGAAGCAGGCCCAGGTTTATACGACGTCTGAGAACACCAAGCTTAAGGAACACAATTTTTCACAAGAATCAAGCAAACCTGTCCAAGCTTTGCTGCAAAAGGAGTAACCATCTTTTTTATACTGAGCAGCAAACAAATCTGCTCTTTGCCTATGAGGGAAACACTATCTCTGTCTTCCAAGGCTGTGTGCTATACATTTATCTTTGGAAAGATAGCTCCAAATAAAAGCTCTCAGTGTATCTGACATAAGACATGCAAGAACATAAGAAACCCATGGAGAATCATCTCCTAAGAGGCCCTTGCACCTGCCTATTTTCAAGACAGATCTATGAAATCTGCCTTGCTCTGTTGCATTTTAAAAAATTCTGTTAATAGAAATAAGAGTTTTTTTACATTGCTACATTTTGCCTGACTTAAAGAAGTTTAGAAGCCATATTCTAAGATGCCTCCTGTGATGTAATTATAATTTGTTCAGTTGATTGTTTGAATGCATCTTACAGCTCATAATATTCTGTTGCAATATAGTACTTATCATGGCGGAAATTGTCATTTTGTTTGGTATGCACCATCCTTTTCCTTCCTCCATTCTGAGTGCTAAACTGGCTGATGTGCCTTCACTAGGGCACACTGATGTTCAGCTTTAGAAGCTCCTGAGATACCCAAGAATGTTTTCTACTCACACAGTTGCTGAAAGAGACAAGGTCTTTCAAAGTCCTTTGAGGGCCAGGTTGGCTGTTACGGTTCCTGTTGCCCACAAACGCAGAGCTGTTCTGTCTTCTGTTGGATTGTGTATTATTCCCTGCCCCTGTTGCTGCTTCTAAACCACACTACTTATGATTTTTTCTCTTACCTGCCCCTTTCTTTCCTTCTTTATATAGTACTTCTTTCTTATCATTCCTGCCTCTTGTTGCTTCTCCCACGCTCAACTCTTGTACAAAATCTGTGGTCCTTTGGCCATTGCCAATCAGAACATTTCTTTCTTTACAAAGGCACACCATCAGTCATCATAAAAATGACAGAATTGCTTGTAATTGTCTATGTCTCTTTTGTTCTTGCTGTACAGTCAGTACAATAAGCACTCAATATGTATTGAATGAATACATAATTCTTTTCACTGACAATGTCTTATTTGGAGCATCAGGGGAAATGGAAATGTAATACTTATTAACTTTTCTGTTTAAACTTGGTATTCAAAGACCACTGCCCTTTAGATAGAAGTTTAATTTTTTTCCCTCTCCTTTTGAAATGTAGCTTTTTCTGAGTTCAGAGCTATTCTGAAAGCTGTCAAAGCAAATTTTGGATGGTTGGAGTGGTATTGAACTTTAAAGAATGTAATGTCCATTTTGATTTATACTTTAATAAACTTTAAAAAAGTTTAATACTTCATATTTCTTACTATTATGCTCCAACAATGGTTTTTAAAATTCTCTTCATTGTAAGCTCTTCTTCGCTTTGAACCTGGGAGAATTTGTCTGATAAAACTGGTGTTTATAAAAACTGTAAACTTCTATTAAAGAAGAAAAATGGAACTGTTCTTCAAATGTTTGTACAGATATACAGACCAATGAAATAGGTAACCCAGAAATAACCCTGATGTATATGGTCAGTAATTTTCAATGAGGGTGCTTAAACTGCTCAGTGGAGAAAAGGATGATCTTTTCAGTAAATGGTCTTGGGAAAACTGGATATCCATAAGCAAAAGAATGAAGTCGGACGTTACCTAACACTGTATACAAAAATTAACTTAAAATGGATCAAAGACCTAAACATAACTAAAACTATGAAATTCTTAGAAGAAAATACACGGTGCTTCTTGACATTGGATTTGGCACTATTGCTTGGATATAACATCAAAAGCACAGGCAACAAAAGAAAACATAGTTAAGTTGGGGTGAATCAAAATTAAGAACTTTTGTGCATCAAGGATGCTGTCAACAAAGTGAAAAGACAACTCATGGAGTGGAGAAAATATTTGTAAATTACATATCCAAAAAAGGGTTAATATCCAGAACATACATGTAAAGAACTTCTACAATTCAACAGCAAAAAAAAAAAAAGAATCTGATTTAAAAAACGGGCAAATGGCTTAAAAGACATTTCTCCAAATAATATAAAGAATTAGTCAATAAGCACATGAAAAGATACTGAACATCACTAATAATTCAGAAATGCAAATTAAAACCACAACAAGATACCCCTTCACACACATTAGGATGGCTATTATATTTATTATATTAAAAAAAGCAAACAGAAAATGTTAAGTGTTGGTGAGGATGTGGAGAAATTGGAACCCTTGAACACTGTTGGTGTGAATGTAACTAAAAATAGAATTACCATGTGATACAGCAATTCCACTTCTGGGTATGTACACAAAAGAATCGAAAGCAGGGACACAAACATATTTGTACACCCATGTTTATAGCAGCATTATTGACAACAGCCAAAAGGAAACCTCAGGTGTCCATTGATGGGTAAATTGTTAAATGAAATGTGGTATATTCATATAATAGACTATTGTTATTTAGCCATAAAAAGGGAGGAAATTCTGACACATGCTACACTGTGGATGAACCGTGAAGATGTTATGCTAAGTGAAATTAGCCAATTACAAAAGGACAAATAATGGGTGAGTCCACTTACGTGAGGTACCTAGAGTAGTCAAATTCACAGAGAAAGAAAATAGAATGGTGGTTGTCAAAGTAGGAGGGAGTCGGGAGTTGTTACGGAGTTTTAGTTGGGGAAAATGAAATTGTTTTGGAGTTGGATGGTGGTGATGGTTGTACCACAGTGTAAATGTACTTAATGCCACTAAGCTGTACACTTAAAAATGATTAAAATGGTAGATTTTATGTTACATATATTGTACAGTTAAAAAAAATGTTTGTAGTGGACATGATAGATTATCTAGTCAACATTTATTGTGTCGCTTTATCCTTCATGGCTGAGTCCCTATTTTGTGTAGGTGTGTAGACCTTGCCCATATGACTTAGGGTGGGAGCCCTCTCCTAAGTCCAGGGATGAATTCTGATTAACTTCAATACACCAGAATTGTTTTCATTGTGCTGCTCATAGTTTTTTGTTTTTTTTTAAAGATATATATATATATAAATGTTTATTATAATATTGTTTATAAAAGCAAAGTACAGTATCAGGTAACAAAAACCCTAAATGTCCATCAGTAAAAGGAGACTGATTTCAGAAATCCTGGCACAAATGAGAGAATCTCTGTAAAAATAGTATATCTCTATTTCTTAACATGAAAAAATGGTCATATTGTTGAATTTTTAAAAATGTTCCAAAACAGCAATATATGGTACTGAGGAATAAAAGTGGGGAGAGAGATATTGAGGAAGAGAGGGAGAGACTGGCGGGTTTTGTAGGCAAAATTTTTTTTTTAAGGGTAGGTACATTTAGTAATGAGGTGGGAAAGGAAGTAAATTGGGAGATTTCTGGGAGAAGTTTTTCTTGCTCTTAAAGAACATATACAAGATATTGTTGCCTTTTCTTCTAATGAATTTTGTCCTCGAATGTGGTACCTTGACCTATGCAGCCATCTTAACACCATGAGGTAAACCAGCCCTAGTGTGAGGTAGCTGCTGAGTACTATAAAATGGAGAATGTAAGGAATCCAAGGCTTTGATAACATCCTCAAGCTGCTGATTGGGCTGGGCATGGAGTCTTTCTCTCTGGACTTTTTTAATGTGAAATAATTTATTTCCTTACTTATATAAGCCAGTTTGAGTTGGAGTTCTGTTCCTTGTGGTCAGAAACATCCTAGTTGATAGGAGGCATTTCAGAAATGTAAATTCTTACCACAGAATTGGATTTTCTAATTTGTGCAAGTTATTTTAAACTTGAGTCAGGCTTAGATTATATATCAACCTGTGTTGTTATCTTACCTTTTATACATGATTCATTGGGTGCCTTTATGGGTCTACTTTCAATGTCATCAAGTTCAATATCCTAGAACTGTGAAGTATGCAGTACAAGCAACTGAAAATGAATTTTAAGGTTATTTTTATGGCATTTGATATTTGGCAAACTATTTTCTGTTTTCCTTTATGCATATTTCAAAATTAAGAGCATTGTACATGAAAAAAAACCTTTACATTTTAAATAAATCCTTTAATTATGTACATCTCTTTATTTGAAAAGAATTTTGGAATATTTGAACTGAAAGAGTGTATCTACTAGGATGCTTTTCTTTGAAAGTAACTGGAAAAACCATTTTAAAATGGCTTTATGTTAAAAGGAATTTACTGACTTACATAGCTAAAAAACTAATGGTGTGCTGGATTTCAGGAAAAGCTTGATCCAGCAGCTTATCTGTATTACCAAAGACTCCATTTCCTTATGCCTTTTATTCTTTTCATAATTCCATAATATCAGCTTTATTCTAGTGCTAGTTATTTCTATGGTGTAAAAAATGGTCAGCAACAGTTTGGACTGAGAGCTTTCTTCATTCATACCCAGCAAGGGGTTTTCTCCCAATTTTTCATTGTCCATCTTTGGAAACAAAGTCACAGATTTCATTCTAAATAGACCATTTTGGGTCACAGGCCCATCTTCGAGTCAATTATTGTAGCCGGAAATGGAAAAATGCTTATTGGCTTAAACTGCTGATTGCTACCCTTGGAGGTGGGAGTGCTGCCAGTCCTATTCGGATTAAATATTGATATATGTGAAGAAGAAGAGTCAGCGCAGCCTACAATGCCCATTGTACAGGCAGGAGAAAAGGAGGTTAACTATCCCCTCTGCCAAATATCATTAGATATTATTTCTGTGTTTTGATTTCACTGTTACATTGTTTTTCTTTTCTATTTTTGTCTCATTAGCAAATTGTTTGCAACAGAGAACTATCTGGCAGCTCTTAATGCATACAACTTAGCCATAAGGCTAAATAATAAGATTCCACTATTGTATTTGAATCGGGCTGCTTGCCACCTAAAACTAAAAAACTTACACAAGGCCATCGAAGATTCTTCTAAGGTATATATATATTTATATATAGTGCTTTAAAATTGTTATCCTCCTATTTATTGGTTTAAATAATGTCCTTATCTTTTTTCTGTTAAATTTAAATAATTAAGATGAGAAGATTTTAAGAATCACCTTGCTTATTATACTTTTTTACTGAAAACAGATTTTTTTGAATAGACAAGGAAGTGGTAGTTTTTGAGATTTCAAGTTAGAAATCCTCTATCAATTGCTACTATATTGCCTTGATCTAGCAGTTGAAGTTCACAAGGAAATTAGTAAATGGTTGCCAATTTGTGCCCACCCTTTTTCTTATTAAAGTTTTGCCAACTTAATGCAAGGGAGAAGGAAGAAAACCTGGTATTCCCTTGTTATCATTACCACTGGCATAGTACAAGGTACCTCCATAATCATTTTCCAATTTTCAGAGTAATTTAGTATATCTTAATTTCCATGACAAATATCATGTCATTATCTTAAACTTCTAGTTATTTTTTTTTCTTTTTATCCTTATCAAAGTGACCTGTTTTAAGGGAAAATCAAATGCAAAATCTCTTTCTTATGTGACTCCTTGAGATTGAGGATATGGAGGAAATAACCAAGTCCTCATACTCTGATTTCCCTAAGCTGTTGAAAGTCTGAGAATGTTTTTTATCATCGTGTTTTCCTTTTACTAGCACAATTTCATACACAAATATTTTTTGAATGATGAATAAATGGAACCACCCATTTTGAATATAAAAGATCATAACATCCATTTAATCATTCCTGCTAATAAAGGGAAAGCTGTAGATAAACCAAATTATAACTTTGGAGGAAAGGGCATGAGTCCGGAGTCTTGTATAAGAACAATTGAACAATTCCTTAAATTGTATAACATAAATATATATGTTTGATAAATTTCTATATCAGCTAAGCCAAACATGTAAATGGGTGAGGGCTTGAGGCTTGTTTTAAAGTTAAGGTTTTTTTTATCATGTTCTTGCTCAAATTTAAATTAGAAAATTATGTCTTTCCCTTGTTTTATTTTGTGAGGCACTAGAATTGCTGACACCACCTGTTGCAGAAAATGCTAATGCAAGAGTGAAGGCACATGTACGACGTGGAACAGCATTCTGCCAACTAGAATTGTATATAGAAGGTAAGAAATTGATAGGAATGTTTTAATGAAAAAATGTCACTGGGATTATTTAAGATCATGACTTTGCAGGACTCCATTGTTTTATATTTTGAACGTTTAATTTATTCTTTGTAGCTTATGTGACAAAATAAAAAATGATTTTGAAATATTTTAAAAATCATTGTAGAAGGGAGTTAAAACAAAATGTGGCCAAGTTTAGATCTAAGAAAATTCTGTAGTATCAGATAATTTTTCTGTGGAAAGATGTGTGATAGAGGATATACATGAGTCACTTAAGATATAATGGAAATTTAAAAATGAGCTTCTTTGGCCATACACACAGATATATGCACACATACACAAACTCAGAAGTAACTGATTTAACACAATGTATGATCACTGCTTATATTTGTGAGACCGTAGTAAGATTTATAATTCAGCCCCATGTGTACAGAAGCCATAGCATTTATTTAATTTATTGCTTTTCATTTTTAATTTATTTAGGGACTATTTTACTCACATTGCCTAAAAGACAAAATTTTGTAGTGGTCGGTGTTGTATCTTCAGTGGTCCTCTTCTCATACTTCCCTACCCAGAGGCCCGTGCAGCTTCCTTGGATTCAGGGCCAAGTTCTGTACTCCTTGATGGTGCCTCATCAGGGAATGGGTTCTAGTCTATAAAGTCTTATTATTTCTGACTTCATTTTTAAACTTGTTTCTGCTGTTTTTAGGAGCTTTTTCTAACCAAATCGTACAAATTAGATTTATATACCCCATCCTTTTTTTAGTGTCTTTTGCAACTTCATGAGGATAAAAATCAAGATAGAAATAAAACATTATAAAGCATTCTTTAGAAATAATAGCATTATAGATTTTTTTAAACTAAGAGGACCCTTCATATTAATTTGCCTAAAGTGGCATTGCAAATTGATAGCACTTAGAACTCAAGTTTCCTTATTTTCAGAGAAGTTCTTTCCACTGCTTAAAAAATTTTTTTTAAATTAAAGTATCATTGATATACAATCTTATGTTGGTTTCAAATACACAATACAGTGGTTCAACATTTACCCATATTATCAAGTACTCACCCTTTCCAATGGTGGTGACTGTCCGTCAACATAGTAAGATGTTACAGAATCATTAACTCTGTTCTCCATGCTGTACTACCATCCCCATAACCAGCCTATATTGGGAATGCAAATTATTGTGCCCCTTAATCCCCTTCCCCCACCCACAGCCTCTCCTCTTTGATAACCACTAGTCCCTTCTCCGTGTCTATGAGTCTACTGCTACTTTGTTTCTTCTGTTTTGCATTGTTTTTATACTACACAGATAGGTGAAAGCCTTTGGTATTTATCTTTCTCTGCCTGGCTTATTTCACTGCGCATAATACCCTCTAGCTCCATCCATGTTGTTGCAGATGGCAGGATGTCTTTTCTTTTTATGGCTGAATAATATTCCATTGTGTATATGTACTACATTTTATCCATTCATCAACTGATGGACACTTAGGTTGCCTCCATATATTGGCTATTGTAAATAGTTCTACTGCTTTGTTTTTAAGCAAAGATTTAGATTCCGTTATATATTCTTTAACAACCAGTCTACAGTGCTTTCCTTTTTAACAAGTTTTCCTCAAATGAATTCTGTAGGTATGATAATTACAGAAAAAATCACAAACTATAGTGTATGAATTAAATGTAAGTATGGATTGAGTCTAACAAAATTATTTTTTGTAATCTAGAATTTCTAAATATACCATTTATGTTTTCATTGGGGTATTAAAATATCCTTTTGATATGTGAATTTTATTGAGTTTGTTCATATCTTAATGAGTTTAAGCTGTTAGCTTATTTGTACTTGTGTTTAAAATATGTTTTACTGACTCCTGAATGAAATCAGTATAGTTATTCTCAAACTCACTGAAAAATTTGTGCAATCTCTTAGACATACTACCATGTGTCTGAAGATGGGAATCTGATTTTAAACCAGTTACTTGTCCTGAACCATGTTCTTAGCGGTTATTTTCTTTAAAAATATTGTCTAGATAACACAAGTATTAATAAGGTATTTATTTTATTGATCATCACTGTTATATGAATATAGGCCTACAAGATTATGAAGCTGCACTTAAGATTGATCCATCCAACAAAATTGTACAAAATGATACTGAGAAGATTCGGAATATAATTCAAGGAACAGAACTAAAATCTTAGTGACTACTAGGTATTATTTTAAGTTTTTTAAAAGTAATTGGAGGCATTAGAAATCTTTGTACATATTATGGAGACTGCAGAATCACTTTATCTTTAAGTTCTCTATTTCTGTAAAAGGTAAAAATATAAATCTGTAGAAAAGGAAATGTTTGACTTGAATGATTTCTAAATAAGTTAAAATAAGATTAATCTATTTTAATTCTTCTCTTCTTCATGTTAATAGGTAAATGAATTACGTATTTTTTGTTACTGAATTCAGCTTTTAAAACTAACAGAATATTTGTTGGTGTGATGATTACCAGCATACTTACTCATTTTTAACAAGGTAGAATTTTAAAATAAATGACTGTCTTTATAAAGTATTTTTGTTTGTAAGTACACCATTTACTTGTCTGAGTAGTTGACCTTGGTATGATCAATACTGATGTTTTCACTAATTCCCAAATGCACAGAAGCTCTTTTTTTGTTTAATGCTTTGTCACATGTTTGAAATTATACCAGTTCAACCTAGTAAAACAATTATTTAGAAAACCTTATTTCACCTTTAGTTGTAGTCACTGTTCCCTAAAACATTTATTATATTTCATAACACTATCTGGTGAAGATAAGTTTTGTAGTATACCTTTAAGTATACAGGGAATACAAGGCAGCAAAGAGTGAAATGTTAATTAACTTAGTATATTATGAGATTGTCATTGGATTGTACCACCATTTGTGTTGTATCACTGTGATAATGAAAGCATTAAGCAAAAACAGTACAGTTTTCCTTTTGCATACAGTAGTTGTCACAATTCTCTGATTATATAGAGAAGATTTTTAGGAAAAACAAAAAAGTTTTTTAGGAATAACTTTTTACATTATCTGGTCATCTGATATCGTTCAAGTGATTATAAAACAGCCTCATTATTTTTTTTTTAATGCAGTGCTTTTGTGAATGTGTATGAGTATCCTACTTCAGTAACTCTGAAACGTTTGCTTACATAAAGCAACTTTCATAACTTCTGTACCAGCCCTGAGTAGGTGTCAGATCTTCCGATGAAGCAGGATTGCTTTTTTCTTATAAACAAACCAGGGCTTGTTTTCTTTAACTTTAAAAAATAAATGTGACCAAAATAAAGGTTGGTCTTCTTGTGTGTCAAATACCAGTTGGGCATTCAAAATATGTAGACCAACCCACTCAAGTTCTTTCTATCACCATCCCTATCCAAAAACAAAAGACTGAAACAAATAGCTGCTCTAAGTGCAAAAAATTTAACCTTGCAGGCATAGAGGAAGGGAAAGTCTTAATAGTTATTTATTAATATTTTTTATCCTATCCTCTAAATAAGGTCTTGGTTTAAAAGCAACAGACACTCATATGCATTCATGAAATACTTGACCTCTATTGAGCAATATCCTATGGTTTACAAGGGACTTTTGTCTTAGATTGAAGTGGTGCTAGAATTAAAATATTTTAACATTCCTATTTCCTTTATGATAAAAACATTCTTCTCAAATAATGGTGTTATTATTAAAGCCTATGAATAAAAGATAATAAAAAATTCTTAGGGTAGTCCTTTGATTTTTTTTTTCATAATGCCAATTTTTTTATTGAAAATAATTTCGAGATACCAAGTTGTAGCTCTGGGAGGAGAGGGTTCCTCACCTGGGGCAAGTTCTCCATGAATTTGATGAAACTGAAGAAAGGCAAGGACAAAAAGTTGGGGAGAAAGGGAATTACCACAGTTATTCTCACTGAAGTCACAGGCGGCTGGGTACACGCACCTGGGTCAAATGCGCTCCCCAGGCCAGCTGTGGGTCCTGCTCCCCAGCACAAGCTCCAGAGGTCCCAGTCTCTCCTCGCTCCCTGCTTCCATGCTCAGACTTAATTCTCCAGGAGTGCCAGGGCTCCCGTTTCTACTTTCCTGGAAGTGGCCTGCCTCCTCCTCCCACACTCTGGGAATAATTCTTTGTTTGGGTCCCTGTGGACTTGCAGATGCCTGACCAATTATGTACTATAAACACAGGTAGAGGAGAGAATGGCTGTTTCCTCTCTACCCTTCCCCTGGGCAGGTACTCCCTTGGCTGATCAGGGGCTCTGTCCCTGGTAAATGTCCCATAAATGTGCAAACATGCTCTTATTATATATACATTGGGTGCTATTGAGGCCAGGCGGGAATCCTGGTTAGAAAGTTCTATTTTCCCTGCACAAGTGGACAAAAACTTAAATGTAGCCATTACAGAAAGGTAAACTGGAAAGATCTTAAATCTCTCACTAATGCATGATTACCATATGTAAGTATACAATGTACATGTTTATTGAACTTTGATTAATTTAGTTATCAACAAATACCAAATCTATATCAAAATATTGCATGCAAGGGAAAGATCAATAGCCCAGTTTTGCAATAGGTGCTTTATAGGAATAGGAAATCACAGGAAGTAGGAATAGGAAATAAGATTATTTTTAGATTAGATTTTTAACAAAAAATATTTCTTTAATGCCACATGCCTCTTGACAGTCACTTTGAAAGTCAGCTGGGGTAGATGGGTAATTAGTTTCACAAAACATGTCTTTATCTCATTTGTTAAGAAGAAAACCACAGGCCCAAAGATGCAGTCTAATGACCCTGTGTCAGCAAACCAATACTTAATACCTAATTGTAGTCTCAGCACCCCACTCCTCAATAGTAGACCTCATCATTTCCCCATAGGAGAGTGACCTTGCTTAACAATGAATTCTCTGCTAACAATTTCCTTTTATGACTCCCTCTCTACCTTTAAAAACATTTTCTTCTCTGCAGTTCAGTGGAGCTCCCCTCTACTTGCTAGATGGGATGCTGCCTGAATCATGAATCAGTAATAAAGCCAATTAGATCTTTAAAATATAGTTGAATTGTTATTTAACACATTGTAGTGCTTAAGCATTTTATCAGAAATGCCTGTTTCTTTCCTTCTTCCCAGAAAGAGCTTGTGAATTACGTCTGTTAGAAACCAAAATTCAATGAAATTTGAAGATCTAATTGGTTTTATTAAGCAACTCATGAATTGGGTAGCATTTCATCTGGCAAGTAGAAAAATGCTCTGAGGAGTTGCACAAAATTGAAGGTTTTTATAGACAAGGAAGGGTGGGTGTGCATAAATTGCAATATTTCCAGAATCTCTCGCCTGGCCTTAGTGCATCTCAATATCAATAAGTGTTTCCAAGGAGTGGAGAGAAGTAGTTCATCTCCATATCAATGGGTAATTACAGGGGTGAGTGAGGGCATATCTGGACCTGAGAAGTTGGGTGGGTCCCCTTCTGCAGCCCAGTCATGAAAGACGGGCAAGCAGAAGTGGCTGAATGCTTGTAGGCAGTAAATGGGTTTCTACCACTTTATTTCTCCCTTTGACTGATTTCCTTTTCAAAGGTATTTTGCCCTGGGTTTTTCCCCTAGAGTTACATCTGGAAGTAGTCAGCAGGACCACTGAACCTGAAATCTGTCTTCATGGGTGCGACCCTTGGGCAGGATGCCCCTAGAGATGGTCGGGAGTTGCCCGGAACCCCCCCACGGCCCCCACCCCCGTGGGTGGTGGGGAGGCCCCAGTGGCTTCAGTGGCAGAGAGTGCAGCTTCACCTGTGAGCCCCCTATCTGTGGGGCTTCCAATTGGGGAATGCCCAGTGGGGAATTGGTCTAGGGTAAAGCAGCTCCTAGAGGGGCCTTCCCCTTAATTGGGGAAGGATGGAGACACTGGAAGCTGTGAAATTATTCCTCCATGAGATAGAAGACTGCTTAGAGACCCTGAGTGGCTGTGTAGCAGTTGGGGCAAAAAGTTATTAGCAAAAGAAAAGATTAGAAATTGTTTCAGGTAAAGTCACCCTCCCTTAAGAGGAGCAAGGCATCTTATGCATATTACCTAACTAGTGATCAGGACATTCCAGATCGATTGGCTTAAAATTACACTCCTGCTGAAACTGCAGTTAGGTTGGTCATTAAGTCCCAGTTTGGTGACTTTGTCCAGGGAAAGTGACTCCATGATGGGCCTGTATTTTTCTTTTTAACTCATCAAACAAAAAAGGTTTGCTCCCGGCCAGGTTTGGGATAATTTTTCATTCACACATTTAGCTCTTTACTGACAGATGTAAAAGTATTATTCCTAAGAGACAAATGTTATCTAAAACTTAAGTGGAAAATAAAACATAAGTGTTTACATAAACATATCCTGTCCCAGTCCCTAGTATAGATAGTAGGTAGAACAGTAAAAAACAGATTTTGCTTGGGAACTGTAGCAATAGGGGAAAAGAACCCTCAGTATAGAACTGGAGTTTGTTCCTAATAGAGCATGGACAATGGATAAGTGGTGATTGATAGCCAAAGAGCAAGTTGGTGGTTGGGGGTGTGAGGGTGTCAGTTTCATTACTGTATTGAAACATTCTTTAACTGTACTAGAAAATTGTAATAGAAAATTACTAAGAGGAGACATCAGAGGTAGGGAGATTATGGCTAAACTAACAGGATTCTAGCTGAAGGCAGGCTAGGTTGGTTAGATATCACTAGGGGATATTGGAGGATGAGAAATTTGGCCATATATTGAGGGTGATCAGATATTGATGGTGGGGCTTCTGGCTAAACTGATTTAGCAATATTTTTGCCAAATTTGAGCTCTTATGGACAAGGCCTAGTTGAAAAAGTGGCTCCTAGGAACCTGTTAAGAGTTTTGTTAAGGTGAGACCACCTGTCACTAGCAAGCTAAGTACTTTCCAACAAACCTCATCCATGTGGGAAATAATGGCAAAGGACTTTTACTTATACCATCTGTGGAAAATGTTAGTAAGTGATATCCCAAGAGGCCTGACAACAGGTGTATAGTTCATTAGGTTATTGATCCATCTGGCTTAATCTCACTCTCAAAGACCCGTCAAGAGCATCCTCAAGAGTTGACCCATCTCAGAGGATCAGGTTCACATTAACCAAATTCAAGAGACTGAAGGAACAGATTGCCTACTTGTTATTAATTCAGAAACAGAAATTGAATGAGCATGTTTGTGGGGACAGTGGCTTATATAATGATTTCTCCTTATAAGCAGATACATATTGTAAATGAAATCATAAAGTTGCTTTGCAAGTGTGTTAAACAACAAACCCAAAATGAAGTCACTTGGCCCCAGGACACCAAATATATGTAACTGCAGCCATGTGACTTTTAACCAGTCAATCTGGAATTTCCTGGTAAGCATTAGTGAGGTAATCTGCATGATAGACCCCTGCCCTTCCCCTAAAGGAAGGTGACTTTGCCTGAAACCATCCTTTCTTCACTTTTGCTAATTATTTCCTTGACCTGCCCCATTTCTGCCTATATAAGTTTTCCACTTTGTACAGCTCCTTGGAGCTCCTTCCTACTTGCCAAATGGGATGCTGCGGTATTTGTGGATTGTTGAATAAAGCCAATTACATTTTCAAATTTACTTAGTTAAAATATTTTTTTAAAAATATGGAATCAGAAAAATGAGAATTATTTTGATGAATGGAATGTTTCATGGTATCATCTGTCCAATTCTACACAACAGGCTTCCTCTTTCGTAGGAAGTTTATAATTTCCTTTGTTTACAAGCCTTAAGGCATACCTCACTGTTACTCTTATGTACTAACAATAAAACCATGTTCTTCAGGTTATGACCAGATTATCAGCATTTGCCATTGTTCTCTTTAACATTGTTTTTGAAATGTTATTCCCCCTTCTGAAATGTTTTAAAAGCACATGACCCTAAGACCATCTCTTTCAAGGTATTCTCAAGGAACTACTTCTGACAATAATCATATTTCATTTTACCTTTTTTATGACCTAAATAAACATGGTTTCATTTAGCAGTATAATATGATACCTAGAACATAGTAAACCCACAGTAATTTTGAGCTATTATAGATAGTAAAAACCATCGAACTTTGTCAAATAATTCTTGATGGGGTAAACTGTATTTCAAATAGTCTTTTAGTTTACAGTGAAAAGAGGAAAATGATCTAAATGAACTGGTAAAATATTACTTTGGGAAGATAAGCTTCCGGTTTCATTTGAAACTGAGGGCTTGTGGGTAAAATTGCAATATTTCCAGAATCTCTTGCCTGGCATCGCCATATCAACAAATGTTTCCAAGGGGTGGAGCATCTCCATATCAGTGGAGAATTACCTGGGTAATTGAGGGCTTATCTGAACCTGAGAGGTTGGGTGGTAGTTTCACTCGCTTCTGCTGGAGCAGGAGAGACACGGATGACTTCTTGTAAGCAATGAACGGGTTTTAAACTTTATTTCTTTGAATGATTTTGGTTTCGGCTAGGTGTTTTGCCCCAGGATTTCCCAATCCCGGAGTTACAGGGCTCATGCTATATTTCTAATGATGAGTCAAGAAACAGAAGTAAAACTTTCAAGTTATGATAATTGTATAAAGGTGGGTTGAAAGGTTGCCTTAAAGTGTCAGTTTTTTTACCTAATGTGCTTTAAGTATTTTCTAGAAGAACTGATTGTTGAAACTATTATCTGAAATGGAGTCTTTATTTTTAGAAAAATTAGAGTATA